TCTCTTTCTCTTTTTCTCCTTCTGTCACTTCAGTTTAGCTCTCAATCTCGGTCTTCATTATTCCCAATAACACGTTACCCACCCAGATTTCTCCTTTGATTCCCATTTCTCCATCTGACAGCTCGGACCCCACAGCAAATGCACACACACTGCTGAAAAGTGTACGCGATCCGTTTCACACACACACGCTGGATTTTATTATTTGCGAGATGTTTTTGATTCATGTCAGTGAGCAGGTTCATTTGTCTTAATGGAGCTGACAGATGTGTGTATCTGTATACACCACAGAGAAACAAGGAGATGAGAGATAGATGGTTGTGTGAGAGTGTGTGTGTTCGCAGCCGGACATCTGGTTCTCCGCTGTCACGCTCGCACAGAAGTTTCTCAGTAGAGAATCCAAACAGACGCCTCTTCATTTACAGAAACAGAAACGTGTTTAAATTCTGTCAAAATTGTCCTTTCAGAGCAGCTCATCTCTCTTCGTTCACAGACGAGCTTGTATAAAATGTATACATCTCTGATCATTTCTCTGTCTGTCTTATTCACAACAGTAGATACTTCTGAAGACAGTTTGACTGGTGCTTGCCTGTTAAAATCTCCCTGTCATGATGCAAGGCTGTTGCTATGCGGTGCATAGGGCATTCTGGATGGTTGCTAGGGGGTTCTGGGCAGTTGCTAGGTGGGTACTTACTGGAACAAGTGAAAGGAGTTCATCCTCAAGTCTCTGTGATATTCTAGTCTCAATATGCCTTGGGTCTTTCCTTCAGTGTACGGCTGTGGGGTTTAGTTTGCTGTTTTTAATGTTTGAAGGTGAAAAATTAAAATTTTTGATTATTATTTTTTTTAAAAAGAACACTCTTCCTCAATAAGTTGCACACTTACTTTTATTTTGGATGTGATTAATCCCGATTAATCGTTTGACAGCACTAATTTTTATGTTTTTCTAATGCTTAAGGCTTCATTTATTTGATCAAAAATACAGAAAATTGCTAAGTATTTTTACAATTTAAAATAAGTGTTTTCGATTTGAATAGATGTTAAAATGTAATTTATTCTTGTGCCCTCAATAAGTTGCACACTTTTAAGTGTCAGAATAATAAAGTACCGACATTTACATGCTGTAAATAAGTTGCATCACACATACATTTTCATAGACATGCATTAGCACTTAAAATAACAGCATTTATTTGAAACAGAAATCTTTTGTAACTTTTTAAATGTCTTTACTGTCACTTTTGATCAATTTGATGCATCCTTACTTAATAAAAGTAATAATTTCATTCAAAATTACTGACCCAAACTTTTGAATGATAGTGTGTTTGTTCAAGTTTTACCTTTGGTTTTACATGTTGCAAAGTCAATACATTTGCTCCTTTACTTTGTCTTTTAGTGGCTGATTTAAGGCATCTTCATTGGATGAATGTGATTGGCTCGTGCAGCGCAGCATTAGCAGCTCAGTGTGACTGTTTGAAACCAGACACATCATATCAGTTTCACAGTCCGTCTTTAAGCACGTTCTCTTTGATGTATGTCAGGAGGATGTTGACTTAGGTTTCTTATCGTTTGATTTTAATGGCATATTTGTTTTTAAAAAAAATAATCCTGTCATCAACATCTTGCCACATCAAAACCTTCATTGGCTTAAAGCACGTTTTGACAACCTTTTGCAGTGATGATGAATGATACAATTTCTTAATTTGAAGTTGAAAGAAGTTGCTCAACGGTGAATCATCTTAAAACTATTTGCATATTGTGATTGGGTGTAGGTGTGTGTGTGTTTGTGATTTACTGCTTTGTCACAAATGTTTATTTGAGGATATACATACATACATACATGCATATATGTATGTAAATTAATATATATATGGAAATCAAATTGAATTATTACAATAATGTTAATTTTAGTAATTTAAATGCCCAAGATATATCTTATTTTATAATTAAAATAAATGTAAAAATGTTAATTAAAACAAAGAGAAAGGAAAACTTGAAATCGCATCATATGACCCCTTTAATACATGGAAATCTACTTGTATATATCACCATTGAAATTATATTTATTAAAATTATAATTAAAAATAAATGTAAAAAAAAAAATGGCCCAGAAACTATTAGGACTGAGAATAACACACTTAAAAATGTCTGAATGTCAAAGCATTTGATGATTAAACATCAGATCAGGTGTCTGTATCAAATACTGCAGGACTAACATCACTTTTCTTCATTATTTTTGTTCAATGTGTTTGAATCAGTTGGTGTTTTGGTGATTTTTAATCAATATATGAAGTCAGTTCTCCTCAAGTTCTCACAGGTGTCCTAATAGAGGAAACACAGATGTAGAGAATCACATTAAATATCAATATGATCCACCAATGCTTCACAAGTCTTGATTTTCCAATCCAAAACGTAGACATTGGCGCAACCGGTCATGTGAGTTTGATCTGTTTGTCATTATTTTTGCAGTTTTATTTAGTGACGTTAGCGTGCAGACACTTCAGTTTTAATTGTTGCATATGCTTGTAGTTTATAATTGAAGAGTGTTATCAGTCACAGAGTGTTTTAAATCTTCTGCTAACCTTTATGTGACTCAGTGAAGCTGCCAAACGGAGCAGATTGTGTCAGTGCACACAACAGCTTGCAGCCTTCGGCAATGTCGGGGTATTCATAGCAACAGTGTGCTGTAAATTTGATATTTAAGGCTGCAGGTGAAACCATCTCTCTAGGTCAGCTCTGAATTGTGTTGCTACTTTCATCACATCCTGTTGCTTAATCGTTTCATAGCAGCCGCCTTTAAATGTGTGCCGTTTACGTGCAGCACGAGAGAATGTTTCAGTGTCTGCAAGTTTATACATGTGGTCAAGGAAACCCTCAGAGCCATGTGATTAATGATGATATAATAGGTGGATGCTTTATTAGAACAGACTTAGTGTCCCACATTCTGTTCTGAGTGATTTCCACGGCATTGGTAAGTGTACTGGGTAGTAGCTGTGTTGGGGTAACGCATTACAAGTAAGTCGAGTTACGTAATCAGATTACTTTTGTCAAGTAACTAGAAAAGTAACACATTACTTTTTAATTTACAAGAAAATATCGGAGTTACTTTTTCAAATAAGTACCGCCAGTTACTTTTTTCCCCAATGATTTACTGACAGTTCTCCTGTAAATAAATCGCTGTAAAAACATGATGTTACTAAAGTTCTAGACTAAACATGCCTTTACACTTGCTCAAAAACAGATTCAGTATTCCTCAAAATGAATAAAAACAGTGAAATGCAAATATTACATGCACATATTACACAAACCTGCAATAATTATATGTTAAATAACACAAATAACCTTTATGTATTTAATCCCAGTGTCTTCGCTGTTGACCTTAGATGATCCAATTCAACAATACTAATAAGCAAAAGATAAACATAACACTTTCTTCTCTTGCGTCCTATTCTTCATGCATTCAGGAATGGCAGCACAGCTGGATGGTTTGTTTGAGCTTTTTGAATTTACATTTCCTTCAGCCTGAGGCTTATTCATTTCACTTTTGGTGTGAAAGGGCTTTTACATTTGCCAAAAACAACTTTTTCATTTTGAAAACAAGGAAGCAAGCTCAGCCCAGATGAGAAAAAGTAACGCAAAAGTAATGTAATGTATTACATTCCATAAAAAGTAAATAAGTAGCGCAATTAGTTACTTTTTAGGGAGTAACGCAATATTGTAATGCATTACTTTTAAAAGTAACTTTCCCCAACACTGGTTGCTAAGGTGTTCTGTGTGGTTGCTAGGGCATTGCTAGGTGAAAATTGTCCTGTTGCTTAGTAAATAAAATGTTTTTGGGAATCCCAGCATGCCTGAAATTGTCTGCAGGAAATTTCAGGGATAAGAAACTGCAAAAAATAAGCTGCTTTGGACCAATATTTATTGTGAAAAGCATATTAAAAATTATTTTGAATTTATAATAATAATGATTTCTTAAGGGGGTGCTAGAGCATCTGGGGAGCATTTCAGAGAAAAGAAACTGTAAAAAAAAAAATGAAGTAAAAAGTTGCTTTGGACCCATATTTATTGCAAAAATCATATTAATAATCATTTTTAATCTCTAATTATAATAATTTTTCAAGGGGGTGCTAGAGCATCTGATGACATTTTTTAGAGAGAAAAAAAAAGTGTACATTTTTTACAATTATATTAAAAAATAAAAGATTATAATTTAATTTAGTAATATGACAATATAAATGCCAATTATTTAATTTTTAAGCGTTTTCTTTGTAGTACACACTATCTTTTTTTTTTGAAAAGGTATAAATGAGTCTTAAAATAGCCTATATGGAGGTTATCCTTCTGCAAAGGGATCATCATAATTAATCATATTTTTAAAAACTTGCCTGGCTTATAAAAGTAAAAGCACACCTCTCCTCATTAGGTTACATAATTTGATGAATGACCATATCAAAATTGGGCAAAATAAGTTTAATATGAGTATATAGTCTTGGAAGAATAAATATTTGTTATATAATTTCCTGGCTTTACTAGCAAAATGCATGATAAAGGAAAGATGGGACTTGCTGAGTCATGAAACCACAGTCAGATAATATCTGACATTTGACTGATATTTGCACATCTCTTTACCCATCATGCTTTCAGCAGAGGGAATATAGCAGAAAACGATTAAATTATTTTAATTTTGTGACATTAAAGACATTGCTCACAATAAAATTGAAATTCTCCCATTATTCATCTGTCAGATATGCTGCTATGTTTTCCCCATAAAATGCAAAAAGCACATCTTATCACATTTATTTCAGTAGGAGAGTTGATTTTCAGTGATCTTTCCATCAAAGTTTTTAAAGAAATGCATTGCGGAAAATTCTTTTCTATTTACAGCTCTAAGGATCTTCTGACACAAATGAGACTTTTCATTTGTGGGAGACTGTTTCTTTAAGAGCCACTTGTTTAGTGCCATTATATTTGCATGCATATCAAATTATACATCTTTTCCTTTCTAGATGGCAAAGGGTGGAGAAGTCTGGAGACCTGCATGGCCGCACCTGCCCGATGTCACCTGAGGAACTGGAAGGTGAGCATTCCTCATATAATTTGGGTTATCGGCTAATAAATAAACTCACGCTTTGATGCTGCCTGACATAACATCACAACACCTGTTTGGTGTCGGCTTGCCTGTACTACATTACCAAATGTGTCAGAAGCGTGTCCGTTTGGACTTGTTTGTGTGTCAGCACGCTTGATTTTCACTCCGGCTCATTGGATCTTTCAGCCAGACACTCCACAGACATTCATTCATTAAAGTCATCCTGAAATATTTACTCATGGGGATCTACGGCGGTGTTGGGTGTTGCTTAAGTAATTAAAGAGGCTGTAGTGTTGGCTGTGTAGGATCACTGGAGGTCTGCTGTAGTTCAGGGTTGGGGGTGGGAAGCGTATACATGTGAATGGGCCGATCGGACATCACGGATCGGTTTACTCTGTCAGGGTTTATATAACACAGACGAGTAATGGGCAGGCCGTGACAGCGCACTAGATTAACCCTGAGGATTCATGTCATTATATTTCCTACTAGCGTGTTATTGGCTCTTTCTTTGCAATCATAACAACAGCTTCAGTTCAGTACACGCTGTATCAGTGTGGCTGCAATATAACAAAGAGTGAAAAATTTAAGGGGGTCTGAATACTTTCCGTACCCACTGTATATATATATATTTACATACATTACATTATATATACATACATACATTTATGCATTTAGCTTTTATCCAAAGCAAAAGAGGAACAAAAGCAATTCATCAAAGTGCCAAGAATATTTGTGATATACAATGCCGGGTTTATTTGACTAGATTAGGAAGCAAGTTTAAGAAGAGGAGAAATGAAGTGAAGAAAAAGTGTTTTATATAGCGCTTTATACAATACAGATGGTTAAACAGGAAAATAACAGTGTTGATGCTTTAAAATTAATCAGTTACGAAACATATTTAATTTCAGCTGCAATGCAACTTTACAGAAGATAATAGTTTCATTATTCAGCTCAAGTCAGTTCATATTTTGTTCTAATCTGATAGTGTCACTCCAGTTAAAATGATAATATTAATATATTAATTGTCTTTAAAACCCCAGGACAAAATTCACAAAAATGCTGAATAAAATTTTTGAAATTAAAGTACTTAATTCAACATACAAAACACTGTTAGAGAAAACAAACGTGTAATTGCACGTTTGACTCACAGTCTTCGTTATTGAGATATAACTGTTTTGACAACTTCCCCATTTCAAATACACTTCAGTTTAGTTTACAAGCCTCATCCAGCTTTGACGTTATTGCAAAGCCTGTAATTAAAATAGGAGACTTTTCGTCTGTACCAACAGTAAAATTAACCCATCAACAACACTTGGTGATAGACGTGAGTAATTTCAAAATTATATGTTGTCACAAAGTGTGTACCAGAGGCTGTGTATCAAGTCATATTGCTAATTCTCTAGCAGACAGAAGCTCGTGGATCTTCACTGAGCTGTTTCAGATGTGAAGGTCTCAATAAAGGTCTCAGTTACTGTATGTTTCATTAACTATCAACTTTGTCTCAGATGCTTTTCTTAAAAGAATGTAGGAGAAATAGAAGTATTAACAAATGAGTCAATAGTTGACACACTGTACAGTAAGTGTATAGAGCTATAAAATGTGGATAGTGGCTCAGATCATCTGGAAATTTGATGAGGAGTGTTTATTTATAATGAAACTTGTCATTGCAGACTTAGACCACTAAAACAGAACTCTATTGTTTTTCTTTTTTTTTCTTTTTCTCAACTTAATCATATTTCTGGGAAAAACAATTGAGATAAAAGAGATTTCATTGTGTGTTTTCTGTCATATGAGAAGCCTTTAGGTCGGAGGAAATGGGATGTTCAACCAGTTGTTTTCTGTCTTCTCAGCCTGAAGTTAATATTACATTTTCTGCCTAACCTAACCTGTCAGAGGTCTGAATCCTTTGGGAATGATGCTTTACACTTTCTGTTACTTCAAACACTTCACAAAGACCTAATGGGTGAATCTCACAAAACCTGTCCAAAACATGCCCAGATCATATTTCACCCCAAATTCATAAGAAAGAAAGAAAGAAAGAAAGGTGAAGAAATGTGACCTGGATGTTTATGTGAAATTCATCCTTCAACACTTTTTCTGCATTTATAGAGAAAATCTTTGTTGAAATTTAAGACGACGTTCTTCTCATCCTGTGATTCTGTGTTATGTCACAGTGACATTGCTTCAAGGCAAATTCCTTGCAAATTATTCTATTTTTGTTCTTTTCCTTATGTTCAGTGGAAATGAAATATCTGTGCACATAATAATGTAGAAACACGAGTGGAATGCAAACTTACTGTGAGGATCTCTTGTGAGGACATGCACTACAATACAGACTTAAGATATAGAAATGTTTTTGCTTTAATTAGCTCTAAGGATCTTCTAACATTTAATGCTGACATGCCCATGTACTTTGTTTTGTGCAGTATGATAAACATGATCAGCATTAGCTGAGCCACAAGCTGACATGTTGGGCAAACAAACAGAGCTGTGTTTTTACAGAGCTACAGACCCAGAGTGTTTACACTCACTCTTCAGGAAGTCAACCGTGATATTGACCATTTTGCTGCCACTGAATTAGACCCCGTTCTCAAAAACACCGCCATCAGTGGATGCTGACTGGCCATTAAAATACACAAAACAGCTCAAATATAAAATATATTAACAGATGTGAAAGGTACTGCTGGAGGTCTGCAAAGAAAATATATAAAACATACACTGTTTAAAAGTTTGTAGTCTGTAAGATGTTTTTGAAAGATGTCTTTTCTGCTCACGACTGCATTAATTAGATTAAAAATACAGTAAAAACTGTAATATTGGGAAATATTATTAAAATTTAAAATAGCTGTTTTCTATGTGAATGTCTTAAAATGTAATTTATTGCTGTGATGCAAAGCTTAATTTTCCAGTTTCACTCCAGTTTTCAGTGTCACATGATCCTTCAGAAATGATTTGAATATGCCGATTTGCTGCTCAAGAAACATTTCTGATTATTGTCAATTCATATGTTTGTGGAAACCAGGATGCATTTTATTTTTCAGGATTCTTTGATCTTTGCAACTTCAGGGATCTTATCTATGCACAATCAGCTTGTAACACTCCAAAGAGAAAGGAAAACTTGAAATCGCATCATATGACCCCTTTAAAAGTTTGTAGTCTGTAAGATGTTTTTGAAAGATGTATTTTCTGCTCACGACTGCATTTATTTGATAAAAAATACAGTAAAAACTGTAATATTGGGAAATATTATTAAAATTGAAAATAGCTGTTTTCTATGTGAATATGTCTTAAAATGTAATTTATTGCTGTTATGCAAAGCTTAATTTTCAGCATCGTCAACGAAATGGAGTATATAAGTAAAGACAAACCTTGTAGTGTCTCAAAGACCCTCTTTTGTGTAAAACTCTTTATGCTTTATATACTTTATATACTATACTTTTTATAATCTATAAACAAAAGTAATGACATAAAGTTGTCATTATAAGTCCGCATGGTTTGACCAAAAGACAAATTATATAATCAATATTGTTAGTTAAACCCTCACCACCAAAAAAAGTTGACTTTATTCAATTCTTGATTTTTTCCACATTTAATAATCAATAAATCTTTAAATGGAAAGCTTATTTATTCAGCTTTCAGATGTTGTATAAATCTCAATTTCATAAAAATTGACCCTTATGGACTGGTTTTGTGGTGCAGGGTCACAAATAGTAACGAAATGGAGTATATAAGTAAAGACAAACCTTGTAGTGTCTCAAAGACCCTCTTTTGTGTAAAACTCTTTATGCTTTATATACTTTATATACTATACTTTTTATAATCTATAAACAAAAGTAATGACATAAAGTTGTCATTATAAGTCCGCATGGTTTGACCAAAAGACAAATTATATAATCAATATTGTTAGTTAAACCCTCACCACCAAAAAAAGTTGACTTTATTCAATTCTTGATTTTTTCCACATTTAATAATCAATAAATCTTTAAAATAGACTTGGTATTAAAAAAGAAATGAAAGTGAAACAGTGAAAATTCCCAGTGCTGTTGGACTGTTATATTAGCACTCTGCTTGACCAATCAGATCAAGGACCAGAACTAAATGTTGCATAATTTATTATGCTTTTATGGTGGTTTTTGTCATTTTCAAACTTAATATCCCCAATTTACCTTGAGCTACTAAGATATTCTTCAGAATTTCACCTATCGGTCACCCAGAAGAAAAAAAAGTCATATGGGTTTGTAACGAAATGACAGAATCTTTCACATTCTGTGGTCACTTCCCTCATCAGCTCGTGTTTTCTGTCTCCTCAGATTCGTCCCTGGCCGAGGAGGGCGAGGGTCATCGGATCCGGTGGCAGCGTTCCTCTACAAACAGCTCCAGTTCACGGAAGTCCACTAGGAACCGTAAGGAGCGGCGCAACCGTAAGCGAGGCCGGAGCAGCCAGGACTGCCGTTTGGAGAGGAAAGAGATGAAGGTGCGGGATCTGGGCCTCGGCTACGACTCGGACGAGATCGTGGTGTTTAAGTACTGCGTGGGGACGTGCATGAGCGCCCGTAAGAACTACGACCTGGCCCTGAAGGTGTTGACGGATAACGGCAGCATTTCTGGCCGCAAGGTGAGCACTCACCCCTGCTGCAGACCCACGCGCTTCGAGACCGTCTCCTTCATGGACGCCCAGACGAGCTGGCAGACCATCAAATGGCTTTCAGCGGCCAACTGCAGCTGTGTGGGATGAGAGAAGCCGAGGAGACGCAGCCGCTAAAATCAACCCAAAGCTCCGGTGTAGAAAGCGAGGGAATTCCAGTGCAAGGAACGGGATGCAGCGCTCCTGATGATGCACTGCAAACGCAGCGGATCTGCTAGCGTCAGCACAGGAACCACAGGAATACGGGACGTCCTGCAGGGAGACGGTCGGAAACCGTAGGGATTTGCATCATGTGACCTTGGAGAGCTGTGAAGCGAGTCGTCACATTCCTGCTCCAGACTGCAGTTCTGCATGGAAAGTTTGTGAAAAGCAGCTTGAAGGCCTACATTTCACATGATCTGAAATTAGAGGTGTTTTAAGAACGTGGATACCATGAAGGTTCATTATAACAGAACAGAAGGTGCTTTTAATTCACTTATCAGCTCAGCATGTGTGTTTAATATACACACACTTTCCTTAAGCCATGTGCACATTACAAGACTGAAGCGTGTCACTTTTTTATGTTTGTGAGTAGTTTTTTTTTCCAGATATGCATGTTGCATGCAGCATTTTACCAGTTTGCAGGCCGGTTCTGAACGCTAAGTGGTGGAGTCCTGCATCGGCTCTTTATAATGATGAAATCATGCTCGATTACACTGCATGTCTGGACGTATGCCTAGTTATAACACTCTCTTCCATCATCTGATCATCATTAGATGAATTACTGCTGCCATGATCGCTAGAAAACGTACACAAACTATTTTTAACTCTTTTCAACTCTTTTCTCTTTTAAACAAATTCCGCCTGCTTTCCATAAGCAGTACAAGCGCTGAATTTTCGGAATAATGTTGTATTCTATAAAAGGCCTGTTTTACATAGAAATTAATCATTCTTGGATTTAAAAGAATGTCAGTGACCTAATTTACATTATTGCTCAAAAGTTTGGAGTCGGTAAGAAATTGATACTTTTGTTCAGCAACAATTGACCAAAGTGAGAGTAAAACATTAATAATGTTACAAAAGATTTCTGTTTCATAGAAATGTTCTTTTGAAAGTTCTATCCATTAAAGGATCCTGAAAAAAACATTCTGGTTTCCACAAAAATATGAAGCAGAACAACTGTTTTCAGCATTGATAATAATTAGTTTATTAGCATATTAGAATGATTTCTGAAGGATCATGTGACACTGAAGACTGGAGTAATGATGCTGAAAATTCAGCTTTGATCACAGGAATAAATTACATTTTAACATATATTCACGTAGAAAACAGCGATTTTAAATTGTAATAATATTTCACAATATTACTGTAATTTTACTGTATTTTTGATCAAATAAATGCAGCCCTGATGAGCAGAAGAAACATCTTTAAAAAACAT